GCCTGTCGTCATTTACTGGATTGACGATTGGAAAAATTTTACGTCGCCCAACCTTAATGTCCATGGGGGGAGAGCTTTATCAACAGGAAAAGCTATATAAGATATAAAAATACAGTTAAAAGTCCAAGCTTGATACCCTCCTTTAGATTTTCTAAAGCTGTTCAGTGGGGGAGATTTGAGTCTTTGTCAGGCCAGTTCTGACCCTGGGCCTTGTGTTTGACGCTCCTGATTTAGATTATGAACGGAGTAAACGGCTAACCTAACCAATGAGTGCTGTAATAGGATGTTACTGAGTGGATATTGTGCACTGTTTTTTCTCACCCACGCCGTTTGGCAGTGAGCCCACTTCTCCAAAAGTTGGTTCTGTTCATCTGGACGTAGCGTTTTGTGGGAGAAACGTTTCATCACTCATCCAAGTGACTTCTTCAGTCTCAGCTGACTGCAGGTTTCCCCAATCTTATAAACAGTACATTTGCATAATGACTGAAACCAGCCCACTGAAGGAACAATGGGCTGGGAGATCAGTTCCTTTATCATAATTATGCAAATTCTCATGACCATTTATCAACAACCACTGATCAATGGCCACGAGTATCATTCACAGAGAGTTGGGGAATGGCTGCAATCACAGCATTGTAAAATGGCGAAAGATGTACCCTTAGGCCCCGTCCTCGATTCAGAGATGGTCTTGTTTTTCAAAGCTTCTGTTAACAAAGGGCAGCCCATCAGAAATAATGTGGGCTTATGTGGGAGCATGGCCTTAATGGGCTAAAATGGCTTTTTTTCACATAGAGGATGAATTGAGGTCTGCACCAAGCCCCAATATAAGATAGATGAGGATTATTATTAACTGTTAAGTAAGCAGAACTGTTATGGTAAATTTAAGTATATAAAGCTAGAAATCCACAAGGTAAGTCTTTTATGGTCTCTTAGAGCTCCTGGGTAACTCACTGTTCTCTCACTGCCTCATTAAAAGTGAGAAAAAAAGAGTGTTGTGTAAAAGTTTAATGTTCTTTATTTTTGGAGAGCAGTTTTCTGATTTTAGACTTCAAAATAATGCACACCTTTCATGGTCATGAAAGTGCTTGGCAAAATAGACAAAATGTAAAGTTTCCCCCTAATATTTTAAAAGTTATCAATTAGCTATAAGAGTGTTTGCCTTTTGATTGGTTAGTTGTTTGTTTTGGTTTGAATCATTTGGCATCCAGCTTATAATCATGCTTCTCTGCGCTTGGCTGTCATCAACAACATGTTTGCTCACACTTACAGTCATCGGCCACTAAAACAAATCCTGTCACATGCAGCTGCTTCGTTATTTCAAAGTTGCTGCCAGAAACGTCTTACCTTCAACCTCTGAAGTAAAGGCCTCAGTAAATTGTCCTTGCACAGTATTATTTGTGGTGAATAATGTTGTCCATGTGATACTGTAAAATAAGCATTCCCTTCTTGTTTCCTTTTTTATTTTCTTTTTCCTGTCAGACGGCTCATTCTGGACAAATTGACCACTCTCATAACATCCTCCAGCAGCATGGCTCAGGTGTGCACAGTAACCCGAGTCTGTGTGACACTAGCAGCCCTCTGCCACAGCGGAGCACCAATACCCAGAATACCCTCGGACAGAGCGAAGGCACCTTTGGTCTGAGCGGCCCGGGACTGCCTGTAGGAGAGGGGACAGATCATGCGCTAGATGTGAGTAGAGGCCTGTTGATGTCGTACTAAATTTTCAGTTTAAAAAAAAAAAAAAAAAGAATAGTAAAGAAATCATAAAAACGTATAAACATAGTGTAGCAAAACATTTCCCATAAAGGAACAGAAATATGAACATGATCCACAGAAAGAGTGGGGTAAACAAGAAGTTTGGTTCTTGTTTGTGTATATAAAGATTTGAATACAGTTTTAATAAGATTGCTGTATCTCAAACTTTCAGTGTTTATTTAATTTTAAAAACGTTTTAAGTGTCTATTTTTTTTCCTTAATTATCTGTCATCAAGCTTCTTCCTGAGCTGACCAACCCAGATGAGCTGCTGTCCTATCTGGGCCCTCCGGACCTTCCCAACAACAGCAGTGATGATCTGCTTTCTCTGTTCGAGAACAACTGAGTCAAACTTCCATTCCAGCCTCTTTCTCTCTTTGCTGTAGCTCGGCTCAGTTTTCACCAACTTCTTTGTGTGTGTTATGTTGTTTTTTGTGTATCAGTTGCTCTGAAGTGTCCTGCTGCTGAAATTCTTTGAGTACAGTGTTAAGGTGTACGTAGGAACACTCTCGAAATGTGAACACTATTATGAGTTTGAAGAATGCAACAGTACACAGGCATTGACTCTACAGACCAGCATTTGAAACTATAGCACAAATCACTGGCTGGAGTATTTTGTATTTAATGATTAAATTGTTTTTTGTTTGGTTTTTTTTATTGGTGTACATTCATAAAGGAGTTCCCAAAATTTGACTGGGGATTTTCATACATTAACATACACTTCTGCACATCGTGAGTGCTGCAAATTGTCTGCAGATCGTTGTATTGTAACTTGTCCACATGTTAAGTATGATAATGGAAACAAAAGGTTTCATGCAAGAATATTTTTGTATTCTTGCCTTAAAATTAGGTTTTTCTGTAAGGTTCTTATTGGCTTATTTTTAATGCCAACTCAGCTTAAAAAACATATATATTTATTTATATATATACAGTTAATTTGAATTTCCTTCCATTACATAGCCCCTTTAGTTTAAAGCACCCCTATTATGCTTTTGGGATTTTTCTCATTCTGAAGCTTTTTTTGTGTGTGTTAAGTTTACACAGTTCTAAAAGTAAAGGTTCAAGCTAAACAGGGTCACTCCCCCATAGGATACACTGCTCCTAAACGGTATAATGATTATTTATAAACTTGTTTGGCTCTAGCCAATAATATCCCACTAATTACCAACAGACTCCAACATAAACTTCACGACTCAAATACTGATATGGCTTCAGATAGCATATTGCCAGTGACGAGCAATTTGTCTGCATCTGCATTGTCTGGTAATATTAGCCAAAAGAAAGACAATTTTATGCTACAGAATATGTGACCAACGGCCAGGGTTGTATCATGGCTGTGCAGGTTCATTGTTGCATTTCATTTTTGAGGGGAAAGTCAAATCCAACTATGAGCTCACTTTCTGAGTTGAAAAAGTTGAAAGCACCTGTTTTTCTAAGATTTTTGTTAGTAATACAATGGAAAGCAATAGAAAACATTAAGTACTGGTTATTTACATAAACACATTGCCCAAGAATGACCAGTTAAATCAAACTGGGGCTTGGGATAAGTGTGTTTTCGATAGACGGTATATAAGTTGGAGCCCCGTTTGAAGGTTTGAATTTACTGTTTTCAGCTTTTGGTTAACAAACATTTGAATGTGACAAGGAGGGGCGGGTCTGACTGCGAAACTAGTTGTGTATTGGCTAATGACATGTCGATCACAAGTCATATAAACTTTCATTTTAAAGCATAGTGTGAATAAGATTTACAAAACAGTTTTTTGTAAACTAAACTCAGAAATAAGTTACTGAGGTCAAATCACATATAGGGTGTAAAGAGTTGCTGGAGCAGTTTCCCTTTTATTCGTATGAAAATATTACATGGGACCATCATTGAAAGAGCTGATATATATATATATATATATATATACACACACACAAGAATAGCTCTGACATTCTCATATTATAAATCATAAATTTGTAAGTGATATCTGTTGGAAGTTGATGTTAATCCAAACAAGCATTGTGTGATCTATTTATAAGAACAGCCAGATCTTCTGAGATTATAATGGGGGAAGCCATGAGTGGTGTCAATGGTGAGGTGAGGTTGATCTAACCTTATAATGCTGTGGTCAATTTATGAGAAAATTCAAATTTACAAGATTGCAAAGGAATGTGGTATGATCCAAACTCAGTAAACTTGGGGTCATTTAAAAGTATTTATAGTTATTTTCAAGCAGCAGTGGTTTGATGAGTTTGAGCCAACTTTGGGAAACTGAAGAGGATTACATTGGACATTTTTGGTAATTAAATAACTAAATATTAACCTTACATAATTTAGTTTGTTTATATTTATTCGGGTAAAGATTGATGATTTTGTGCAATTTTATTTAAATTAAATACTATAAGTAACTATATTTATTCATACAAGTATTTCTTGCTTGAGACCCACTAATTGGTAGCATGATGCATTTCTTAGTTGTGGTCATCTTCTGGGAATTGATGATAATGCAAGATAAAGAAAACTGACAAACATTTTCTTAAATACACAATGATTACAATGTAAAATGAGAGTGGTTAAGGTGTAGAGCTAAAAGACACATGTCATCATAGAGTAAATGAGAAAAAGCCCAAAGTATGAAGGCATTGCCAGTAGGCCTTTTCCGCAACATAAAGCTGGGAGAGCACTGACATTCATTGTCTCTCTGACATCCTTCAGCACTGTGAAATGTACAAAGCCTCACTTTCCCTCTGTTGGTTTACCCTCTTTTGAGGGCTTTCAAAAATACTTTATATGAGCTGTGTGTCATGGCATTTTTCTGCCATTTGAAAGTTAGTATGTTTTTATATTGTTTTACATTTATAACCCATCATGGCACGGGTTTACGTATTGTATAATCAACTGTTTTCATTAGAGAACGTGTGTGTGTATCAGACAAATTGTTAAACATGATCATTTTAATGTTATTAGTTGGATAAAGGATCATTGTTGGCACTGTATACTGTATGTTTAAAAGTGTTAAACCAATTGTTAAAAATCAAGGTCATACATAAAAGATGCATGTGTGACAAAAAAAATGGACAGTCAGCAGTCATCAAGATAAAGTTGAAATTATTCTTAATGTGGTTTTTTTAAAGTTGACATTTTTTTGTATGAACTATTTACTCGTTGTGGTCCAACATTGTGTTGACAAAGCAACAGAAATTCTTTTCCACGTTGAGCTACGCAAAATTATATTTGAAAAGTATGAACAAGCAAATTTACTACAAAAAAACGAAACAAAAAACAAAAAAGATTTTTAAAAATGTTCTGCCTATTTTGTAACACATTGTAATTGCCATTATTTTCTATTTATTTTTTAATTATAATTATCATTGTATTCACAGTTGCTTTGTCCCCTTCCTGAAACTGAATCAGAATTAAACATTGCTATTTGACCAATGGTGTTTTTCTATTTAACTTTAACATTTATTTTAGTTTTAGCTTTTTGAATGTATTTATAGTATGTAAAGCTTTTTCCATCAGAATGCCAACTGCTGTTTGGGTTAGTCCTCTTTATTAATTTTGTTTTCACTAATAGTTAACTATTAGTCTGCTTTTAGCTGGATATTTAAACTCTGTGTTATAAATGGATAAAACTAATAGCATAAATAATTTTTTGAAATAGTTTGTATGTTACAGCATTTTTGGGCTCAGAGCATAGCCTTTAGAATTAATCCTACTTCTATTAGCAGGCACATCATCAATAAACAGTGGTGGTCTGGTTCTACTGGCAACCATGCCTATGCCATAACATTGCCTCCACCATTTCTCTCTTTCGCCATACTTTTCCCTATAGCATGCTGTCCCAAGTTAATCTTTGATTTATCTGTTTTTTCAGTGTAATGATGGCCACCTTGACATTTCTGTGGACCTCATATTGAGAGTTCCATTGAGCAGCTACCAAATGGAAATCCAACATTTGGAATCAGCTTCAAATCTTTGATCTACTTAATTTATCATAGACCTCTCCTGACCATGAAACTGCTTGTTAGTCAACTGTACAATTAATGCTGAACCTGAAAATGGGGGACTATGTATAAAAATTCCTAAATTTTCTGTTCAGACAGTTCATCGTGCCATCCACAAATGTTGGCTGAAGCATATTATGCAAAAAAGAAGCCATATGTTAAAATGATCCAGTAGTGTCACCATTGTATGTGCACCAAAGCTCATTCAAAAATGGACCAAGGCAAAGTGGAAAGCTGTTTTGGGCTCAGATGAATCATCATCTGACCCCAAATGTAACTGATGTAATGGTCTCGATGGACTTTGGTCTTGTCTTGGTCTCGCTTTCTCGGTGTTGCTGTCTCAGATCGACATAGTGATCGGGGGAGATTTGGAGTCAACAGTATCCATGAAACACAACGTAAGTTCTCTAAGAGCTTCACTTAATTTCCTTTCGCTGCTCAGCTCTCACACAGTGGCTCAGCTATGCTTCAATCCCTCCATATTGTGGCCAATCACATGCGAGGATATAGGATAATATCATTATGTGAAAAACAGAGAGGGTGAGAGACGCGACAGTCAAGTGGAGCGTGCGTCTGTCCTCTCTGTAAGTGAGTGAGACAGTAGACAGCGGGGAAGAGGGCTGTGCGAGTGCATCGCAAAAACACATAAATTTGCCTGACACCCGTAAACGAAGCAGCATCTGGCTGCAGTTTAAAGACTTTTTTTTGTCTCGGTCTTGTCTTGGTCTCGATACACTCTGGTCTTGGTATTGTCTTGGTCTTGGTTTAGGTGGTCTCTTGACTACAAGTCTATCAAAAGGGAATAATTTAGGTCAGGCACCTAACTGTTTTGCTTCCTGCCCCGCCCTTGAGGGTTGCCGTGGAAATGTCACACGTAACCTCGTTTATCTTAAATCCAATTGGTCAGATTTGGAGTCTTTGAAAGGGAACGGCTGTGATTGGCTGTGGGCCATTTACATCGCTGCTGCAAGACCCATCCAAAAATAGACCCGAGTGTCGCTGTCAGGTTCAGCACGTTATTCTCTATCACGACCGAATCGCGAGCACATTTGTGAACATGGGAAACCCCAGAGTTTTCTTTGACATCACAATTGATGGCGCTAACGCCGGCAGAATTGTAATGGAGGTAAGAGATTCCTATTATCATTTATTTTGTCACTCCGTGTTCCAGAGCTACAGCTTCGTCATCTTCAAAGGAGTAGTCTCAATTTCATTCCCAATAGTCTGATGAGATTTAAAACCTCGCTGCTTTTTTTATTTATTTATTTATTTTTTAACTTTAGTTAAAGCAATTGCATGTAGGTGTCAGTGTTATCGTCAGGTGACAATATAAACCGAGGGCAACCTAGTGCTACTGTGGTTAGCACTGTGGTTTCCAATCTAGCCTTTCTGTGTGCGGCCTATGTTTTCTTCCAGTGTCTCCGTGGGTTCTCTCCGGGTACTCCAGTGTTCCAGGTTAACGGTTTTTTACATGAACTATTTATATTTGTATGTTCCAGATGTTGCATTCGCACCCTGCTTGGGGAAGGGTGGGGTTGCTGTCTCTAGTATAGGGTTGAGTGTCGATAAATATGCTGCTTAAAAATATATTAAAATTTAAGCAAATAAATAAAAGCAAATATCCTTTAGCAGGTCTCAAACTTGCGTGTTTTTATGACATCAATAAATTCTCAACCTTAAAACAGAATCCCCTGTTTCCTTTCCACTAATTGAAATCTCTGTGTTCTGTAGCTCCGGGCTGATGTGGTCCCAAAGACTGCAGGTACGTGAGGTAGAAAAACATTTTCCGTGTCACTGTGCGTCCTCAGCTTCCTCACACCCAACAATCAATTTATGTTTCACTGCTGAAAAGTTTTCGTTCCCATTCAACCACAGCGGGATTTATTCTAAATATCTGTCAGGGCTATGGGTGATAGAGATTGTGAAAATAATACATGAATCAACTGACACGTGGAGATACTAACACCTATAGCTTAATACTAGAAAGAGAAGGATCTGTGTAATGCTTTACAAATTTACTAGATCACCAGCCACTAAGGTTTATGCCACAGCTGCCTAAAAGTTATATTATTATGACATTATTTATTATGTTTCTGAGATGAATAATTCACCATAACTTACTTAATCAAAATGGTATTTCTAAAAATGTTAAAATATAATTATCATTGTTATCCATGAAGTTTCAAATTTACTGTAAAGATGATAGAACTTTATTAATCCCTCAGGTAGGTTCCTCCAGGAAATTGAGTATTCAGGGTTTTTTTTTTCCGTTTGTTTTTTTGTTTGTTTGTTTGTTGTTGTTGTTGTTGTTTGTTTTTTGTTTTTTTACCAAAAGCAGAAAAATAGTTTGCTTATTATTTTTATTGACTTTAGTTGCTTTATATATTTTTAAGTAAGTAACAATATGCTAATTTTACAGAAAACTTCCGTGCTTTGTGCACTGGAGAGAGAGGTTTTGGCTACAAAGGCTCCACATTTCACCGTGTGATCCCTAAATTCATGTGCCAGGTACAGTCGAGGCTTGGAATATGTAGTGTCCTCACTTTCACCTGTATGTATGTATGTATGTATGTATTTATGTATGTTTACCACATGTGCTTCATTTTTTCTCTTCAGGGTGGAGACTTTACCAACCACAATGGAACAGGGGGCAAGTCCATCTATGGAGAGAAATTTCCTGATGAGAACTTTCAGTTGAAGCACACAGGCATGGGGACACTGTCCATGGCCAATGCAGGGCCCAACACAAATGGTTCCCAGTTCTTCATCTGCACAGCCTCAACTGACTGGTAAGCTCTACTTAGTAATGCTGCTGCATTCAGGTTCTATTCAGCTTATTTCAGGTGTCTTTCTCGCATACTAATACTTTCCTCTGCTCTCCAGGCTGAATGGGAAGCATGTGGTGTTTGGCAACATTGTGGAGGGTATCGATGTTGTCAAGGCAATGGAGAAGCAAGGCACAAAGAGTGGCACAACTAAAGCCAAGATTGTCATTGCTGACTGTGGCGAACTAAAATAGTGTAACTCATTCCCTTATCAGATATAGCCTTTATCATCCACGCCAGTCAGTTTTTATGGTTCAGCATATCAACAGTCAGAATGGGGAAAAACACCAAGTTGACCAACTTTCTCCTTCTAAAATGTTTCTCTGCTGTGTTGTCATTTGTCGTGTTATTTTTTGTTTGTTTGTTTAAATAATTTATTTTGTTTTATTTCTTTTTACCTATAACATTATCCTTTTCATGATCACATTTGTTAATGAAATCTAGATAAAATGGTGGTGGTGTTATAAATAAACTAATTGAAAGCATGTTTTTTGTGTATGCCCTCTTTTATTTATACATAATCAGAATCGTGTTTATGTGCCAAGTATATGTGCAGACACATACAGGGAATTTGGTTCCGGTAGATGGTGGCTCTCAAGCACAGCAATGTAAATCACACACACACACACACACACACACACGTATCTATATATACAGATTACACATTACATATGCATACACATACATACACACACAAAGCTGTGTAAACCAACTATAAATAACTAATCTAAACTTATATACATAAAATACAGAAATGAAATGAGGTGGAATGAATACTACAGAATGTACATAAGGTGTAGTTGCAGTCTGGCAGTGGGAGCAGTGTGACGGGTCAACTGTTTAGAAGGGAGATGGCGAGGGGAAAGAAACTGTTCCTATGTCGGGTGGTCCTGGTCCAGATTGTGCTGACTGCACCAGAGTACCAGCCGCTCAACTTCCTGCTGGTATGCAGACTCATTACCATCCTGAATGAGGCCAATGATAGTGGTGTCATCTGCAAACTTTAGGAGTTTAACAGCCGAGTTCTTGGAGGTGCAGTCGTTAGTGTCGAGGGAGAACAGTAGTGGTGGGGAGGGGAGGGTGAGGTGTGGGAGTCTGTCCGTCTCAAACCTGCAGTAGAATGTGTTTAACTCCTTGGCCAGGTTTTTGTTTGCTTCAATAGAGATTGACAGACCACGTGACTTTCGCGCATTGCATGCCAGGAACTCGTGGCAAAGCAATCCAAGTACCTGCATCAAATGCAAGCATTTGCAGCACCGCAAAACGTTCATTCTTCGGTTCCAATAAATTCTTGCTTTTTCTTTGCCCCCCAAAAAGGTATGTACAAAATGAAGGAGAACAATGCCGGTCCGTACAAAGACAGACTTGATGAAAAGATAAAAAATCAAACCAGTGAAAGGGTTAGGCCCTTACAGGGTGGGGGGCGTCTGTAGCTGGTGATTTCCTGCAGGCCCCTCCACACTGACGCTGGGTTGTTGGCTGAGAGCCGTTCTTCCAGCTTCTGGGAGTAGATCCTTTTAGCTGCTTTCATCTCCTTGGTCAGTGTGTTCCTAGCTTGCTTGTACAGGGCCCTGTCGAAGTGTTGACAGGGCCAACGAAGAT